ATGGAACAGGCACAAAAGACAAGCACTCATTTCTGTTAGCTGTGAGGCACAGGAGTGTTGGTGTCCCACAGGCCAACCACAACCCAAAGACTGAAGCACAGCTATAGCTATTTCCCCCTTAACGAACTCTGAAGAAAAGCAGACAACTTCCCTAACCTATCCTCTGTGGGATTGGAACTAGCTCTCAATAAAGTATCTGGAAAACACCACCAAGAGCCTACAGATTTGGGTGTGGAGATAAGGCTGAGAAACCAAATCAGATATCTCTCTGACCAGCTGCAAAGTACCAGCTCGGGGTACTTCAAGGCAGTTCTGGCTCTGCGTGTCTTGCCACAGACTGTGAACTGCACATGCACAGGGTCAAGAGTCTCTCAGCAGCAACTGCTTCTTGTTCTCAGTGTGTGCAACCACTTCTGCCTCCTTCCCCTGCCACAGTGCTCCAGACAGGGCTGGGGCAGCCTGCACAGTGCTCAGCAGAGATTCACACACATCCTCCCTCTCCTGGCTCATGGGGGAGGACATGGGGACACACATGGAGAGTGTGCAGGAAGTTAGAATCATAAGGTTGGAAGAGACCTGTAAGATCATAAAGCAAACACACCCACTTCACTCCACCACTCTAACCCCTAAGTCATCTCTTCCAGCACCAGATCCAGACACCTCTCCAACACCTCCAGGGATGGTGATTCCACCACCTCCTTGGGCAATATCCCAGCTCTGTGTGAGTTCCCAAGGATTGTGCCTGACTCTGCTGCTGTGCAGACTCCAAAGGAGCAGCTCCAGGTTCCTAAGCAGAAGAGAGGCAAGGGAGCTGGAGAGGGACTCTGTTGGGAACTGCAATGATAGGACAAGGGGTAATGGGTCCAAACTGAAGGAGGGGAAGTTTAGGTTAGATATTAGAAAAAGTTTTCCGTGTGAGGGTGGGGAGACACTGGCACAGGTTGCCCAGGGAGGCTGTGGCTGCCCCAGCCCTGGCAGTGTTCATTCCAGGTTAGACCAAGCCTTGAGCAACCTGCTGTGGTGGGAGGTGTCCCTGCCCAGGGCAGGGAGTTAAGGCTAAATGATCTGTAAGGTCCCTTCTAACCCCGAAATTCTATGATCAAGGGAGACAC